GCTGTCCGGTGTCAGATCTGGCGGCATGTAGATGTCAAGGCTGCAGTGGGCAAGGGGGAAAGGAGGGCGCCTCAAAGGCTGTCTGGTGTCAGTCCCGGTGGCATGTAGATGTCACAGGCTGCGGTAAGCAAGGGAGCAAACAGGGGTAAAAGCTATGCTCGAGTTTAGAGACCTGCATTCAAACTGAGGGCGCCTCAAAGGCTGTCCGGTGTCAGACCCGGTGGCGTGTAGATGTCAAAGGCTGCGGTCAGCAAGAGAGCAAGCTGCGGGGGGAACACTAGATTGTTAAAGTTCAATCCAAAGAGGATCAGATAGGTTACAAGCAGGACGGTGTCCGGAGGGCAGCAATACAAATAGAAAGAGAACCTAAATATAGCTGTCTCGCATCCCATCCTGTCCCATCCCATCCCATCCCATCTCATTCCAACCCATTCCCATCCCATCCCATCCCATCTCATCCCGTCTTATGCATCCCATCCCATCCCATGTTATCCCATGCATACGTGTTGCGTGGACGAGGCCCGTAGCGAATGTCGTAGACCACTCGCACGCCGCCATGTGGCAAACCCTGCCACAGCATCGCTTCCATCGACGACGCCCAGTTCCACACTGAACAGCCACATCATTCCACGTCAGAAGCCACGCCGTGCCATGTCACGCCAGGTCACGCCAGGTCACACCACGTCATGCCAAGCAAAGCCAGGAAAAAGTTACGGGAGCCGCAGCGGAGGAGGAAAAAGAGAGGCAAATCTCAGCCCCCATTGTTACGACAGACGCGTCAACAGTTAGCACTATAGCATCAGCCGGCTTTGCTCTGTCTTCATCAGCCCCTTCTCCTCTCTCTGCCCATCTCGCGTTCGCTCACTTGTTTCACCTCCCCCCTCTCCCCCTCCCCTCTCCCTGCCCTGCGCCCTTTTCCCGATCCCCCAACCCCCCATCCCTTTCCGTGCCCCATTTCCCCCCGCCATCCCTTTCCGTGCCCCATTTCCCCCCGCCATCCCTTTCCGTGCCCCATTTACCCACGCCATCCCTTTCCGTGCCCCATCGCCCCCCACCCCCTCCCCCACCCCCCCCCCCTCCACCGCCCGACTCTACCTGTCGACGTGAGCTGCCTCCGCATTTTGCGGATCCCGATCGCCGACCGCCGCGCCGCCGACGGGCTTTCCGCGTCTCCCGCTTCCCTGTGCGCGATCTCCCCCTCCGCGTCCGCGCCCATTTCCCCGGCTCCGCTTCCGCTTCCGCCATTGCTCCGCGGACCTTCTAAGCCGCGCTTACTAGCGTAGAACACGCTTCGATACATCGCCATGGCGTGAAACCCGTACGGCGCGTTGCCGAAAATGCCGACGAGCTCTTTCGCGAATGTTACCGCGAGCGTCGTCGCGACGGCGATGCGATCCCATACCGTCGCCTGTCGCAGCACCTCTAGCTGCGCGCCACGTGCCGCCTCGACGAACAGACTCGCCACCATTCTGGCGGCGCCACGTGTCCGCCCCTATTATTGAGACGACTCAAGCGCCTTTGCTACCAGACCCCGTTTACGGAAAAGGGAGCAGACTTCGGCCTTTGTATCGGTCGTTTCGCGTGGCTTTTAACGCACAAGCTTTAGAAAAGTCTGGAGATTTTGGCGATGGGAGCAGCGTGGAATGCGTGGAATGCGCGGCGTGAAACGCAGGGAGAGCGGCTGGGAGCAGTGGGAGGCTGGGCGACTCCTTTCGGCGGGACAGACTCCTTTCGAGTCACTCGAGACGCTGTCCCGGAATCTCGAGGGTCAAGCTCGAGCCAGTCGGAATACGCAGCTTAATCCCTTTCGACTCCTGAGCTTGGGACTCGACTGGACTCGCGACAGATGCTGGGAGCGCAAGGGCGAGCAGGACATGGAGTCAAGTTAGAAACTTCACGGCACTGCAATGGCGCCGCCTCTCGTTCCAACTCGCTCCGCACGACTCCAGCACCGCAGTAGCCCGCTGGGAAGACAAGCTAGATCTGCTGCTAGCCTGTGCAGCGAGATGCCGTCCAATGACCTGGGAGGCCGAATGGCTCTGCTGCACGAGCCGCCCCTCTCCCCCCCTTCGCTCGACAGGCTCTCTCGAGTCTCTCTCGACCCGAGGCTAGAATCGGCTACAGGCTCTAGGAGAAACCAAGTTCCCAGGGGGAATTGGCCCGACAACGCCAGTGGCTCACGCTAGACGGGTAATCATCCAGAATTTCACGAAATTCCGAATGTTCTCCAGCCAAACCGTGCCGGAATCAAATCCGGGTTTCTTAAAACGGGCCCGAAATTTTCCGTTTCAAATCCTATTCTGACCCTGTCGACGAGCGCTGCGTCACTGGGACCTCAGAAATGCCAGCAAACCGCGACATTTAGCCATATTTCGAGGCATCAATATTCAAATCTGGAAGAATCCCCTTTCAAAATTTCCAGTCGTGAGGCCCTGGAAGAAACCAAGTTCCCAAGGGTGTTTCTGCTGACGTTTGCTGCAGCAACACGCTTGTCTGGTCTGGTCCGGACTCCGGACCAGACTCCCGGACCAGGCGCCAGTTTATGGGGAGAAATCGAGGCCCAAGGGTGCCCGTCCCAGCGGGGGGGCTGGTTGGTTTGGTAAGTTCCGCCCCGAACAACAGACAAACCCTGGGGATTTTTGGGGGGGGAAAGAGGGAAGCGGAAGGAAATCGGATTGGGTTCGTGCGGACAGCAGGTGTTCTTGCTGAAGGCAGGGGCGCGGTGGGGCAACATAGGTTTGGTTGGCATGGGAGGAGTGCAGTTGCGGGGCTTGTTGTGGCTGACCGACGCCCTAGCTGACTCATTGGGGTTCAGGTTTGGACGAGCTGGCGTGGGCGGTGGTATGGATGGCTCCGCACCTAGAGGTTTGGGCGAACGCACCAATCGCGTGAACCGGAGCATGCGTTTGATCCAGTGAAATGGAGCCGTCGGTTGGGGCAGATTTTGCCTGCTGGACCAGGGGATTCTTCGTGGGGATTCGTCGTAACCGGGACAAGGGTACAGTGCATGAAGGCATATAGCTAAAAGCTAACTACCCTAACGGGAGCACATAGAACACATTATGCCTCTGAAGGGGCGGGAGGCTCCTGTCCTGAACTGTACAAGGATACGAAGAGACAATTACGCTAAGGAGGGCGAAAGGCATTACTAAGCAGCCAGGAATTTTTTGAACTCCGGATGAAGGTGGAATTGATTGTCCTTCGAGGCGGGAGAGCAACCGGAACTTGATAGCGTACGAAATCCGTGACTGGGAGTGGCGCTGTTTCTTGATGGACTGGCCGGCCCTCCGCCAACAGAATATCTTCCAAGCTAAAAGAAAGGTTGTGAGAACTGAGTGAAGAGCTTCCACAATGTTGACTGGTGCATCGTTGAATTTCCTGCACAACACAAGTTCCATAATGTTTTGGCAGCTGCCCCCACTAGGAGACTCCATGGGGCAACCTGGCCGGCCTGGATTTGAAGAGGAAACAAGGACAGCTCTGAAGAGACGGAAACACCGAGGTGGCGGTAAGCGGACACGTTGAAGAGCAGAGGTCACAGCACCGGCGACATCGCATTCAAAAAAGATGTGGGAGAGGGATTCAACGACTCCAGAGGTGCAGCAGGTGCAGATGCCTCTGTCAGTGGCAGAAGTGAAGTGGGAGCCAGATGAAAACGACCGAGAGTAAAGGCGATAAAGGATGTCACATTGCAAGCATGGTTGTTCTCTGAGAAAGTCATGGGAGAAGTCAGGGACTGTAGGAGGAGGTGAGGAAGGAAGAGCCGAAGCCCAGCGGCTGAAGTGGTTGAGTGGCCGTTGCACATAGAGCAGACCGCGAATGCGGACCAGGGAAGGCAGACCGACGCTCAGCACCTCAAGCCGCGCCCCTAACCCTGCTCCCGCGCAAAAGGCCCCTGCATACCACCTGTCTGTTGAGTGACCCGCTGGGGTTGACCTTGAGATCCTCGGGGAAGGGCCACAGGTGCAGAGCCTGGGGGGCTATGGGCGCACTTACCCGCTATTCAACAAGCCTTTTAACCCAGTGGTTAGTGACTGGGTTTCTGACATGGTATCAGAGCCAAAGGTCTTGGGTTCAACTCCCAGTGCCAGCGCTGCAGAGGCGCTTGTGTCTTCCACCTATCCAGCGGGGGGGGGGGGTGTTGAGTGACCCGCTGGGGTTGACCTTGAGATCCTCGGGGAAGGGCCACAGGTGCAGAGCCTGGGGGCTATGGGCGCACTTACCCGCTATTCAACAAGCCCTTTTAACCCAGTGGTTAGTGACTGGGTTTCTGACACTGTCCTGTACGTGCACTGCTGTTGCGGAAGAGCGGGGGAGCGATGGGGAAGCATGATGGTTCTTGGCAATTCTCCCGTCGGTGTCCACAAGAAAGGCTCGGGTTGAGATAGAGAAGGAGGAATGGAGGCTGGTAATGAGGTACACAGAATTGGGAGAGGAGGAGGGTGTGTTAGAGTGAACAATCCAATCACTGATCCGGAATGTAGGAGAAGGGGGGGAGAAGGAAAGCAAGGCTATCCACCAGGAGACTGGAATGGCAGTGGAGATGGAACGTAGGATGCTGCCACCACCAGGGAACATGGCGGGAGGGAAGGCTAGACGGAGTTCGGCCAGGGACGCGGGCCAGGCACCAGAGCCGTCCATTCGTACGAGGTGACCCACACGGAGCTGACGATGCAAGAGAAATTGCTCATTCTTCTTACGTCCGAAGGGCATACCATTGGTCTAAGAAGAAGACGGTTAAAGGCGAGCGGCTCAGCAAGTATACACGACGGGTCAAGTCGGGAAGGATGTATCGTAGAGTTGAGGGTCAGAAAACTGCGTAGTTCGGCAAGAACACGAGATAGGATAGATGGACGAAGGTGCCGAAGAAGATCTGGATGGAGGAGGAAAGAGTGCAGACCAAAAGGCAGAGGCACACAGCTACGAGCAACAGTCTCAAAACAAGAGAGCCCAAATCGGCGGAGAGCGCGTTGAATGTTCAGCGCTGGGTTCTGCAGGCATTTGACGACGTCTACGTCGACGTTGACGTTGAGGAAGCTCCTCAAGCGAGCACTGGTTACCACCCAAACTAGGAGCACTTTCCGACCTTCACTCGTAAGCCACGCAACCAAATCGCGGAACCGCATGTGAAAGGAGAGAGGAGCAAATTTAAACTTTGCGCAACAAAAACATGCTCTCTTAGGGCAGATGAGAAATTTTGGGCGTGATATGGCGAGAAAAGAACCTAGGCTTTGGTGACATGTGCTCACCAAGAGACAGTACGCGCAGCTGCTGTTTTTTGGGTTGGGAGCAACCTATTGCGATCGATCTGACGAGATTTTTTTTTCAAGTTTTATTTAAAAAATGATACCAATTGAAGGAAAATGATGGGAAATATGGGTAATATATTGTGGATGGCTCATCTAAACTACATATCTTTATTAGCGTCGCTTGACAAATAATTGAAACATGTGTCATATCACTACTACAGCATAATACTTGAAACGAAACAATGATGGAAAAGAGTTCATGTTTTCCATAATTTCCTGATACGTGGAAGGGAGTAATTGAAATGTGTAATATAGTCTAATGTAGTAATTATACTATAGTATTGGAAAATGATGGAAAACGATAACAAAAATGTAAATGTTTTCCATGATTTCGCGTGGCGTATTTTTGTTGGCAACAAAAACAGGCAATCACCTCCCCAACTAAGTGGGGGAAGTTGAAAGCCTAATTGATAAATCAAACAACATTTTTTTCAGGCAATGCACTTTTCGATTGCAAGAAAATATATTGCACCTATCATCTCTAGTTCAAGTGACTACACTCAGAATGGGAAGTCAAAGAACTTTACTTGAGACGATCAGTACAAGTGCACTACCCATGTATCATGCAAGCAGTAACAGAATGGAGAAGGGCAGCAACGCAAAACAAATGGCAGCGACACAACACTTGCACTCCAAAATGCATCACGATGAGAAAGAAAGGCAACAACAAGTAGAAACCAATTCAAACATGTCATGTGATGTGACAGTCTACAGTAAATAAAAAGTCTTGTTGGAAACCAGAGATCCTTTCTAATGGCATTCCTGAAGCACCAACGCACGTGGCAAAAAAAAAGAACATGAAAAGAACACAAGTTTAGTTGAGAAGATAATGCATGATAGAACTCGAGAAATGGAAATGAGGATTGAAGAAATGAACGACACATGAGATAGAGGTAAAAATAGGGACAAGAGACGTAGAGAGAGAGAGAGAGAGAGAGAGAGAGAGAGAGAGAGAGAGAGAGAGAGAGAGAGAGAGAGAGAGAGAGAGAGAGAGAGAGAGAGAGAGGGAGAGAGGCAGAGGGAGAGAGAGAGAGAGCGTGAGAGCGAGAGAGAGAGAGAGAGAGAGAGAGAGAGAGAGAGAGAGAGAGAGAGAGAGGGAGAGAGAGAGAGAGAGAGAGAGAGAGAGAGAGAGAGAGAGAGAGAGAGAGTGAGAGAGAGACACGCACACACATACACCCCTTTTTTTCTCGAAGGTAATGCCGATTTTAGGTGGCACCATTGTAGACTAGTATGGAATTGCAGCCAAAGAACAAGAACTTCAGCAACATTGACCTTCGAAAATATCAAGGGAAAAATGTTTGATTTTCATAAAAGTTACGCATAAATCTTTGATGTTAGGTGCGGTAGACATGCAAGTGAGAACTGTCAATGAATATGAGGGCAGATGAAAGACAAGTTCAAGGCAAGAAAATATTTGGTAGGAGAAACAAAGGAATAGGAAGTGCAAGGAAGGAGAGGGAACTACGGAGAATGGAAATACGACTTAACAATCAAGACGCAAGAATCTAAGACACGACCTAACGGGCTAGACTGCTATGGCTTGCACGAATGAAAAACGACCTAGACAATTAGGTCGAAATTGCATGCACGAAAAAATGGACTACCCCACTAATTCGTAATGCATAG